TTTTACTCTCCACACTCTCCGCGTGCACCATAGCTCGAAATATGCATCGGAGGCACATAAATCTTTAATAAATCTCGGATAAAATATGAATATCCCGAGATAAATAAAAACATGTGCGATGCGCTGAAATATACATATGTGAAAAATAGAACTTGCTACGTATTTATAAAAGATCATGTCTAAAAATTAAACTATGTAGTTTTAATCTATAAACAATCAACAACATCTATGTTACTTCTCACATAAACAGTAATTCCGCCTTTTTCCCTCAAAACCACTCTTGACCAGTTCCTTTCCCGTCTGAATATGTTGTAGATCTGTATGCTAACAATAGATTCAGGTTTATCTGGCTCAAGGTGTATTTCGGAGGCGACGCAAACATCAATATTGTTCTTCTTTAAATGGTCTTGAGTGTACAGCCTCTCTAAACCGGTTCTTTGTTTTAGTTGGGTTACAAATGTTCGTAAATAAACATTTTGAAACAGCAAACTCGCATTTCGGGCTTTGCTGACTTGTTGATGAGGTCGATTGTCTGGTGTTTAAAATAAGGAAATGGTCTCTCTGTACATGCTTAGCCGTGGTTTTTGGATGTCGCTGAGTGATTAGTCTGCAGAGCAGGCGTTCTAGTAAAGTTTGGGCGAAAATTAGACCGCGCGAAAAATGGAGCGAGAAGAAAAATTAGGAGGTGGGGGGAGGGGGAGAGGAGAGAAGGGAACACCTGCCAGCACTTATTGATGTTTTCAAATACGTCTCCAGATGATTATTATGCACTCCGAAATTTGAGCTTCGAGAAAACAATCACGGAACGGCATATTTCAAACGAAAATAAAGGTTAACACACGTGGAACGATGTCAAATACAAATAATAACACGAGCGTTCATGGAAGCAAAGGCGAACGATTATAGTGGATTTTGTAATTGTTGTTTTCGAGCTAAATTTGGAAAACCAGGGACAGGAAAGTCTTCTTTCCTACCTTTCGAAAATATATTCAAGCCATCGAAAAGACAAGACTCGACCGGAATCGTTCTTGCGGGTATTTATAAGCAAGTTGGTCTTAAGATTATGAAGAACATCAACTGTTCAGAACGATGCTGCAACCCCTGTTCACGTACAGTTATAGACTTAGGACAACTTTACAGCTTTATGAAGAGTAAAACAATCCAGATTTCAACTCCATCTAAGCGTGGAAAGGAAGGGGCAAAAAGACCTTTAACGAGCCCTTCTTAGCGAAGATCGAAAGCTGCCAAACTAAGAAATCCTTTGCGCGGTCATGCCAGGACCAAACAGCAATTCGAACTACGAGAGCTCTGCTTCTCCCATTGTAATTTGGCTTCATGCTCCTGCTTTGAGCCACAAAGAATTCTCTTTGGATACTTGGTCCTCTAGAATACTTTTCAAAGGACGAACAACGATTACAGTACAGTATTTCGTTAGCATCTCCTTCCTCACAGTCACGAGCAGTCGGAATATAAGGATTTTACTAAAGCCAGTCGGCAAAACAGCTAGTAAATCGCCCTCATAGACAAGTTGCCTCGAACTGTGTAGTTGGTGAAGTTTCAGATCAAGTCGAAATTCTGTAAACGACTCCTGATAAATCCAAAGAAATGTTTAGCGCCCCCATGTAAGGAGTGCTCCAATTGTTGTGTAATGTAGCGAGATTGATGTCTATCGATCAGACTAAACAAGAAAGGAAATCAGAAGCGTTCGTTCGTCCACGAACGAGTGATTGAAAAGAACAATAAGTGCTGGGAGACGTTCCTTACTCTCCTCTCCCCCTCCCCCCACCTCCTAGTTTTTCGCCTCGCTCCATTTTTCGCGCGTTATAATTTCGCCCAAACTATCCTAGAACGTCTGCTCTGCAGGCTACTGAGTGATGACCACTGGTATCCGATAAGCTTTCCACTGGTATCCGATAAACAGCAGCTCCTCCTTTTTCCCTCAAAACCAATCTTGACCAGTTCCTGTCCCATCTGAACATGTTGTACTTAGGTATGCTGACAACTGGGCCAGGTTTATCTGGTTCAAGGTGTGTTTCGGACAGTTCGTGGCGTACGGACCGAGTGCAGCGCGGTCCGTGCTTCACGACAGAGAGCCAAATATTTTCCCGTCCAACCAGATCAAACTAATTAACAGGTATCTTATCATAGGACCACTTCGAAAATTTGGTTCAACCCAAATAGGACGCGGTGCACAAGCGCACGCTGAACAATCACGATAAAGATCCTGCAGGAAAAGTTTTCCTTTGTTTTTTGGGGCAGAACAAGAAACTTATAGTTCCTTAACCCGTCCGCCCCTACACACGTCAGCTTTCACTATGGTTTTTAATGAGACTACACGCGCGGGGCCTTACGGGTCAAATAATCATCAGCTAAATAAAACTGTAGGTAATGTGTTACATCAACTCACAGTATCTTGGACAGGAAAAGTAAGACAAGAAAAAAAAGGAAAATTAATCGAAATTCCTGAAACTGAAAACTCCTAAGTCGACATAGATACTCTAACTAATAAGATGAAAGATTAATTACAAACTGTAATTATGTTTAGTCTGTAGTTTTCTACTTTACATATATATTATCCTAATACCTAGATGTTTGTAAGCACGAAGATTAATGTCTACATGTTGTATTTGTATGTGAGTATTTATTGTATAGAACTGTGTAAAATTATATGTCAACAGTCTGGCTTGCCGCGATTAGCTCTTTGCTATTTGCAAGCCAGCGTGGTAATGACCATCTGAAGTGAACAAATAATAATAATTAAGGTTAAAGGTTAAAAGAAAACCGTTTATACAGCTAGGTATATCAGAAGCTATATACAAATATCAAACCTGACGGATAACGGCTCACTTAAAAACCATTGTATTAAGGTTTAACCGAGCCGTTATGGTT